GCATGTTCAGAGGAAGGGCTGACCAGAAATTTGTTCTGATTTGTTTGAAAGTTGAAGACTGGTTGTATACACAGAATAGGTGTTCCCACTTGTGAGATCTCAGAATAAATATTCCTGTGTTAAATAGTATACATTATATTGCTTTGTGTTGGTCTCAGATACAAGAATACAATATATGTAAAGCAGACAATGAAACAACGAATATTGTTGCAAGCTTTACCTGTTCTCAATAAAATTAAACGTCTTTCAAGCTTGTCCTGTTGCACGAAATGATGTTGCCATTTTATTTTTTGTTCCGATTACACTATCAGGAAACCTCACCTTTTGATAAGGCATACTAGGAGTTTTAGATTTGGGATCCACTTGAACCAATGTAGATTCTTCTTCATGTATTGTTAGCAATCTCTGTAGTCACCTTTGAAGTACTCACCTTCTCACTTAATAAGTGCATTCCTCTACTGTGCCTGGAAACATTGCTGGTGAGTCATATTTTAAAAATTGATTAATAATAATGTCACATGTATTGGGTGGTATGTGTGATGAAAATAATGGGTTCTAAGTTTAGATGTTTGGATTTATTAGCACTTCAGTTACAAATTCTCTTAATTACAATCAACACAGTATTATCACTGATTTACAAATTTTCCAGTACACTGTTGCACACACACACACACTATGATTCTCCATCTTCACTAGTTATATCCTAGCAGTGGCTCTCAACATAGAATGTAGCACTTCAAATCACTATGAAGTCTTCTTGCCATTTCTTGTTCAGTCACCATGGAGCCTCAAAACTCAACTAAAAACTCTTCTGGACCCTTCTTAGCTGCAAGCAGACAACACGGGGAACACAGTTCTACTGTTGTGTAGAATAGACCACACAGAAAGTAAGTCACGTGATAGCTAAGTACTGTTGGAGTGAGAAGTCATTGCGCCTCTGTGGAAGTGTGTTTACCGAACGGATTGCATAACCCCATTGTTCCATTGTTGAATGCGTGTATTACTTAGAAACAGCTGTTTCTGTGGCTCAGCCCTTCTTGCATGGAGCAAAAACGCCACAATATTATGTTGTATGGAATGTCTTCCAGTCATTTAAAATCAGACTATTTCAAGGATATTTTTAGTTGTGGGAATGTGAGAAGGTTACAGTGCCAAAGTCACGTCACCTGGGAAGATACATTGTTATGATAAAAAGTCCACTTGTGTGTTCAAGAATTTGTTATTCAACTAATGCACTGCCATAAACATTCTGAAGTGTGAAGTTGGAATGCTTGTTTCGGAGGAAGAAATTTATAATTGATAATTCCTCTGATGTTTAAGTAACAGGTCAACATGTCTTTTATCTTTTATTTGGATGGTTATGTTTTTTTTTCCCATCTTGGAGTCTCAGCTTTTCCATTGGAGACACTGAATGGCTCGTACATCATCAGTCACTGTATCATCCATAAAAGTATCATTCTTATAACAGTCTTGCTGAAATGTCTGAGCAAATGTCTCTTATTGCTTCCTTTACCTTCAAAACACTAGTGATAAAGAATTTACTAAAATCATGAAACAAACTGAGCCCCAGCATTTGTTTGTCACAGAAATGCTGAATCATCCAGTCATATGATCCAGTATGTGCCACCTCATCAAAACAACAACAGACACTCCACTCTGATTATTTAATTGTTGGATTATTAGCACCTCTTAACAGTGTCACATAATTTGTTTCATTGTTCTTGCCATTCTGTTAAGCTTTTCACTGAGAGGCCTTCAGATTAGCTGCCTAGGGACCTACTGGCCCTAGACGGAAAACAATGCAGGTTGGTAACAGGGTTGTAACTGGCAACTGCTGAGGTTAGACTGGAGATCATTAGATATGGATTGTTAAATCTGACATCATCAAGATGGTTCTGCTCTGGTATTGGGGTCACGGCTCTATAGGGCCCTAACAAGATCAGGGTGCACAATAGACCCAGTAGTGATCTGAGTGCTTGAGGCAAGTAAGGTTGGTTCTAAAAGGTTCTGACAATGGTGCATAAGACTCAGAATTACTGGGTTTTTGGACGTCCATCGCCCAGTATTCTAAAAACTAAAGAACACAACATTTTGAAAACTGGATCTGTTTACTGATTGAGGTTAGCTCTTTCTATGGAATCCAACAGAGTAGGTGTCTTCCCCCTCACGTGATGACAGAAACAGATCCAGTTTCCAAAACGTTGTGTTCTTTAATTTTTAAAATACTGGATGATTGACATGTCCAAAAACCCAGTAATTCTGAGCAAGTAAGGTTGTCTACCACAAATATGAAAACCTATTATTTACATACATTCTTCAAATGACAAATCTATTGATTCTTCTTTGTTGCACAAATGCAAGTGTGTTTACATACTAGCTAGCTGTCCTGGTCGTAAACATTTTTTAATTTTATTTTATGAAAATTCTTAGTTTCATTGTACGTACTACAAAATTCTAGCTGCCCTAATGAAGAAGAATGTGTTGTAGTTACTGCTTTTCATTTAGTAAACATTTAAACCATATTTTAATCTAAGAGTTACAGCATTTCACTGTTCACATTCTAATAACTGCACTGAAATATGTAACTGAACATTGGGAAAGATTTCTGTGAGTAATAACCTCATGTATGTCATGAGTGTCTTTGGAAGTACTTAGACAGTAATGGACTGTATTCATTCTCGTTAAATACACCAGTTGCCGTTTCTCACTGAAATTTTGGAATTAAAATTTGTTTACATAAATGGTGTATAAACACACTTGCATTTGTCCCTTATTAATTATATGAAGAAATAGTGTTCGGAAATTGTTTTTTTTAAGATGAAATTGTTGGGTTATGGAATAATATCAGAATAATTATGCAAAATAGTTATTTTTGTTGAAGAAATGTTTACTAATTAATCTGCCATAAAATAAAGCAGTTACATTTCTTTTAGTTGATGCATGAAATTATGTAGCATAAACATACATCATGTCTGCTGCCTTTTGCATTAGTATTCACCAACAGAACAGTGGAGAAGAAAAAAGATGAAATAGACATTAAATTTACAGTTAAGTTACGAACTGAATATTGTAACATGAGTTATTATACATGGCAAGTATTTCACATTGAATGTACATGCCTTCCCAAACTTAATGTGGGCAAACTTTAATTTTTTTGGGGTAAAAGCAGTGACACTGAACCTATGTTCAGATGTATGACTCATTACTCTTCATGATTTAGTATTTATTAATTGTTGTAACATAATATAAGGATTTGGAGTTTGAGTCCGGGTAGGGTCAAGAATTTTCTCTTCTCCATGTCACCCACACTGGCTCTGGGGCCCACCCAGCCTCCAAATCCAATGGGTGCTGGGGGCTCTTTCCTTGGAGGTAAAGTAGCTGGGGCGTGAAGCTGACCACTCACCTCCAGCTAGTGCTGAGGTCAAGAAAACTTGGATTTATACATCCACTGCCCCATAGGTCTTCATGGCATAGTGCTTAATTAATTAAGCAGAGGAGCAACTTTTACCTTTACCTTGTGCATATAAATAGCACATAGCACATATAAATAGTTAAAATCTTCTCAAGATAGACAGGCAGCACAAGTTCAGCCCCATCAAGAAAGACGATAGGAGAAGGGATACGAACCTACTTGGTTTATAAATTTTAACTTAAACAACAAAATTTTAAAAATTTTAATATACCAGGAAAGCTGCTGTAGTTGTGGAAAAGTAGGATTTTGTGTATATTGTGCATTGCAGACATTGTGTGTATGTATTTTAGCACTCAGAACACCCATTGTGATAGTAGTTTCCAAATAAATATCGATGTGTTCTCTGAAGATGGTCTGTAAGGACCGAAACATGTAACGGTGCTAAGTTTTCAAGTAGTAAAAACTTAAATAGTCACACTGGATGGAGTTATTTTGTCTTTCTATTGAACTTACCTAGAATAAGGTCCAGTGGATGATTTTACAGAATTAACTGTTTTTGTTACGTTTGAAAACTTATTTCAGAGTAATGAACTTGACTCATTTTCTGAAACACCTAGGATAAAGCAAGATGAGCAAGTAATGTCTTGCCAGAGGGGATAGATATTGAATGAAATTAAAACATATCTTTTTAATTTTTTTGTTAATTTTTGAGGACAGATGAGTTGTAGATAAGCTGTAACTTCCATGCTCATTTTCCTTCAATAGAAACTACTAAATGAATTTATCTTCTTTGTACCTTGCAGCAAAATGCCAAATAATTCTATGCAGTTTACTGATTTAGATTTCACTTCAGATCCTTCCACTCTAGTTTGGACCCTCTCAGTTCTGTGCTGCCACCAATTAGTGGGGAAGATAGATATATCCATTGTCTTGGAACTGACTGATGCTGACTGATTCTGCTAACTTGAGTTACCCTGTGCAGTGGAGGTATATCTCCGTTCATTCTTAACCTTGGCACTAGATAGAGTCGAGTGGTTAGCTTCACTCCCTGGCTGTTTCATCACTGGAAAATGCCTAGGGTACTCATTTGATATGGTAGTTGGGCCCCAAGAGATGGTCTGGATAAAAATATCTAAAGAGTTCATCATCTGGAATATAACACTGTGTGGACCATTGAGAGTCAACCTGTATTTCAGTTGAGCATGTTGCTGGTTTCTTGCTCAGGATGTCAATTGCCGCAAACCGTTTTCTTGGGGTCTCTGAGAACCATTGGTTCCATTTCAGAGCTGTTTTGAGTTTGAAGTGGCAGCCCTAGAAATTTAACCTCATCGGAATCAGGAATAGAATCTCTCAATTTACTGTGCCAGCGATCACTGACTCAACATTACTTTTTGTAGAAAAAAATTATTGTATATACCTGTGCTCTGTACTGGATCGACATCTGTTCAGTAACAGAGTATCAACTTACAAACTTGGTTGTATTTCTTGATAGCAGATCGCGTTTGCATACAATGACTGTCATTGATTTCAGATGGCAGCCGTGATAATTCTGTGTCTGTAATCAATGGTTTTGGTCGCTTAGGTTTCGTAGAGAACTTGTATATGTTCTGATACTGATTAATTAATAAAGTATTATTTTGTTAATACGTTTTGTCAATAGTTTTTTCTCCATATGACGGAACATCTTTATGATACGTTGAGACATCTGAGGGGTATGCTCATTAATTGTAACAGCCACCCGTACGTAAGTTTTGGTGTTGTCGTGAGTAAGTGTGGATTGTGTTTTCTGTGAAATATTTGACATTTATGATGAACACATACAATTAGATGTTTTGACAGAAATGGGAGTAAGTACAAATACTTTTTTTAGTATTTGTTACTGTAAAATAAGAGGGAAAAATGACTATGAGGCAGTATAAATATGAAAGTGGACGTGCCTTTTCTCTGCGCCGTCTTCCGGGTTGGTATATTTTGGAATGACATTGTTGTGGTATGAAACTGATTTCATTTAAGGTTTTAAATTCAAATTTTTCTTTTTCTTTGAAGTTTGTATGCACAATACTTGAACTTCCCGAATGTGGTGTTTTTCTTTTTAAGGCGTGCGTTTATACTTACCGTAAGGTTAGATTAGTTGTGTAAGGGCTCTTTAAGGCGTAACACGTTAGTGATAGAGTTTTGCAATTCGAGACAAATTGCTGAAGAAATTTGGCGTGAATGTTCTGTTATTGAACAATATAATGTTTAGGTGATCGTTTGACCTGGAAGTTTGTGTGTTAATGTATTTGTTGGTCACCGCTGAATCAGTGATTATATTTTGGTATAGAATGTCATTCTCTCAAGACTGGTAGTAACTTAGAGGGGAGAATAAGTAAACTATAAATACTGCACATAAGCGTGATTTTGAACAAGGAATTATGTAATATGTAAAAATACGTTATAGATTTAAGTAACCTATCTCTGTCAAGGTACATGGAATATTCGAAGTATGTATAGGGCAGGTTCGCTCAGAGCAGTGGCGGTTAAGTTAGATTTAGCGGGGGTACAGGAGGTCAGATGGGGCGGAGGTGGCATCGCACCAGCAGGCGAATATACATGTTTCAATGGAAATGGGAGTGAAAGTCATGAATTAGGTACAGGTTTTTTCGTACATAAGAGAATCGTATCAGCAATTAAGAGGGTAGAATATTATATTTAAGCATCCTGTTGCACTCTATACGATAAATGATACAAATTCCGTCCCTAGTGCAAACAATATATATTATATGTCTTTGATCTTGTTCTTTCTACACTACATGTTTCGGCCTCTATCGGCCATCATCAGGTGTATACTCTTAACGTTGCTGCCACACTGAACCCGGTCTAAAATTTAACATTTAAAAACACAATGTCACATTCTTCGTATTATCAACATCTACATCGTTGATATGTGTCTGGTATGTAGATTATGTTGCACACGTCAAATTTGATATTCTTGTAGTAGCACTTTAAAAATCTTTAGTTATGATGTTTTTAAAAACTTTTTAAAATTTTNAGAGGGTAGACTTCGTTAGTGATAGGATATCATATACGAGTATAATACTAAAAGGTCGCTGGTGTGATATCATCGTTACAAATGTTCACGCCCCAACAGAACATAAAATTGGTGACATAAAAGACAGGTTTTATGAAGAACTAGAACATGTATTTGATAAATTCCCGAAGTACCCTATGAAAATTTTGCAATGAGATTTCAATGCCAAAGAAGGGAGGGAAGACATTTTCAAACCAGTGATTGGGAATGAGAGTTTGCATTAAATTAGTAATGATAATGGAGTTAGAGTAGTAAACTTTGCGACATAAAGAATCTTACAGTCAAAATACAGTGTTCCCGCATTGTAACTTCCATAAATTTACTTGGACATCTCCTAATGAGCAGATGCATGACCAGATCGACTATATTTTGATAGATAGGAGACGGCATTCAAGTATACTTGATGTCGGATCATTCAGGGCAGTAGATTGTGATACTGACCACTACCTGATGGTGGCAAAGGTTAGGGAAAGACTGGCAGTGAGCAAACAAACAACACACACAGTTCATATGGAGAGTTAATTAATCGAATAAGCACCTGAAGATGGCACTTTTGTGCCGAAACATGTAGTGCGGGAGAAAGGAGTGAGGTAGATAAGTGTATGCACTAAAAGACGGTGAAATAAATCATGGACTCATATGGAGAGGTTCAGTCTCAAGAAATTAAATGAGGTAGAGGGTAAAGAGTAGTATCGTGTTGAAATCTCAAATAGGTTCGCGGCCTTGGAGAACTTGAACACTGAGGTGGATGTTGAAAAAGCTTCGGAAACTGTTAGAGAGAATATAAAAATTTCTGCCATGGAGAGTCTAGATTATTATGAACCGAAGAAGCATAAGCCATGGTTCGATGGACAATGCTTACAATTACTAGACCAAAGAAACAAGCCAAATTGTAATGGTTACAGGATCCAAGAGAAAAATACATAGGGATAATCTGAACAATATAAGACGCGAAACCAGCAGGCATATCAGGAATAAAAAGAGTTAATATCTGAAAGACAAAATTGATGAGCTTGCGATGAACAGTAAGAATAAGAACATTAGAGACCTGTATATAGGAATAAATGACTTTTAAGATGTGATACCAACCTAGAAGTAACTTAGTGAAGGATGAGAATAGTGATCTTTTGCAAATTCCGACAACATTTTGAATAGGTGGAGGAACTACTTCTCCCAGTTATTGAATGTACATAAGGTCAGTGATGTGAGGCAGGTAGAAATGCACACAGCTGAACCGTTAATACCTGATCCAAGCCCTTTTGAGGTTCAAATTGCTATTGCAAAATTGAAAAGGTATAAATCGCCAGGTAGTGATCAAATTCTGGCAGAACTTATTCAAGCAGGAGGCGAAATATTACGTCCTAAGATCCACAATCTAATTACTTCTATTTGGCATAAAATTGCCTGATCAGTGGAAGGACTCTATTATTGTAACAGAGCACAAGAAGGGCGATAAAACTGACTGTTGTAATTATCGGGGGATATCACTGCTATCAACTTCATATAAAATTTTGTCCAATGTTTTTCTTTCAAGGTTAAGTCCATATATAGATTAAATTTTTGGGGATCATCAGTGTGAGTTTTGATGTAACAGATCAACTACAGATCAGATCTTTTGCATTCATCTGATATTGGAGACAAAATGGGAGTACGATGAGACTGTACATCAGCTATTCATAGACTTCAAGAGAGCCTGTGATTCAGTTAGGAGGGAAGTATTGTACTGTATTCTAGTAGAGTTTGGGATACCCATGAAACTAGTTAGGGTGATTAAAATGTGTTTAAAAGAAACGTATAGTAAAGTCCGTATAGGTAAACATTTTTCCGATAAATTTCCTATCCAGAATGATCTGAAAGAAGGAGATGCTTTATCACCACTCCTTTTCAACTTTGCCTTAGAATATGCAATTAGGAAGTCCAGGGAAACCAGGTGGGACTGAAATTAAATGGGACACACAAGCTGTTGGTCTATGCCGATGATGTGAATCTACTGGGCGATAATATAGATACCATAAAGAAAATCACAGAAACTTTAATTGAGGCTAGTAAGAAGGTTGGTCTAGAAGTAAACACAGAGAAAACTAAGTATATGTTACTGTCTTGTCACCAAAATGCAGGGTAAAATCATGACATAAAGATAGGAAACAGATGTTTTGAAAATGTGGCACAGTTCAGATATTTGGGAATGATGATAAATCAAAACCTGATTCAGGAGGAAATTAAGAGGAGATTGAACTCGGGTAATGCTTGCTACCATTCAGTCCAGAACCTTATGTCTTCTTGTCTGCTCTCCAAAAACATAAAAATTAGAATATGAAAAACTATAATTTGCTGGTGGTTTTGTATGGGTGTGAAACTTGGTCTCTGACATTAAGGGAGTGTTCAAGTTTTCCAAGACCACGAACCTATTTGAGATTTCAACATGATACTACACTTTACCCTCTACCTCATTTAATTTCTTGAGACTGAACCTCTCCATATGAACTGTGTGCTTTGTTTGTTTGCTTACTGCCAGTCTTTCCCTAACCTTTGTCTCCGTCAGGTAGTGGTCAGTATCACAATCTACTGCCCTGAATGATCGGACATCAAGTATACTTGAATGCTGTCTCCTATCTATCAAAATATGGTCGATTTGGTCGTGCATCTTCTCATTAGGAGATGTCCAAGTAAATTTATGGATGTTACAATGCGGGAACATTATGCTTTTGGCAGTAAGATTTTTTTATGTGGCAAAGTTTACTGCTCTAACTCCATTATCATTACTAATTTAATGCAAACTCTCATTCCCAATCACTAGTTTGAAAATGTCTTCCCTACCTTCTTTGACATTGAAATCTCATTGCAAAATTTTCATAGGGTATGATGGGAATTTATCAAATACATGTTCTAGTTCTTCATAGAAACTATCCTTTATGTCATCAATTTTACGTTCTGTTTGGGCGTGAACATTCATAACAATGATATCACACCAGCGACCTTTTAGTATTATACTCGTATATGATATCCTATCACTAACGAATTCTACCCTCTTAACTGCCGATACGATTCTCTTATGTACAAAAAAACCTGTATCTAATTCATGATTTTCATTCCCCTTTCCATAGAAAAATGTATAGTCTCCTCCTGGTGCGATGCCACCTCCATCCCATCTGACCTCCTGTACTCCCACTAAATCTAACTTATATTCTAAGATTTCTTCTGCCACTGCCCTGAGCGAACCTGCCCTATACAAACTTCGTACATTCCAAGTACCAAATCTCATATCCATTTTCATTAGCCTAGGTCGTTTATCCAAAGAATCCGTCCAGGTCCAAGGCTTTGTGTTCATTTTCGTAACATAATGATTTTTTTATGGTGAGGCGTTGTTAGACCCACACCCAACACCCAAGGTGGAGGGCCACCCCTTGTCGTCTGTCCGCGACTGCGTATTCAGTATATTCGCAGCTTCCCTCCAAAACTAGAGGGTGTCTCCTCCATCTGCAACCTGAGGACGCACCATTTAGGAATAAAAAATCATCTTATTCAAAACAGAAACCTGTATGCACATGGAAACTGCAGTCTGCAGCCACCTGCTCACGCTGGTTCCTTGCTCTCGGATATTTCTACACTGAAGATGGAGGCGATACGCTCCTCCGAAAAGTCGGTTCTCAACATCTTCATGGCACCACAC